CTATACAGATAGTTAAGTGAGTTTGAGAGCCCTGACTTAGAGCCACATAACCAGCTTGTCAGAGGATAGATCTTCCTGGCTTTGAGTCAGCTCTATCCTCCATACCATAAGTGAAGTCCTTGAAATAAGGAGACTTAGACTTGCCTGTAAGTTTCACGTCCTACTTGGCTAGACTTGGCCTTTAGTTTATCTTCAACTGCCTGTGGGTTTGAGCTCCTGAGTCTGCCATTGTCTCTAAGGTAGTTAATTCTCACTTTAAACAGGTCCCTAAAGAAACTTGGAATCACAGAATCTGAATCATAAGGGACCTCAGAGGTAATCCAGTCCAACCTATTTTCCCTTTATGACATAGTCTAAAAAAATCACCATCCTGCCTTTGCTTAAAGACCTCCGGTGAAAGGGAACCCACTCCCACCCTAGCCAGACTGTTTCCACTTTCGCGTGTAGTTGTTACAAAGAGTTTTCCTACATCAAGTCTAAATCTGCCTCTTTCCTTTTGAAATATTTTATGGCTTTTAAAAAAAAATCATTGTACTTCCCAATCACTCCCCTCCATGACCACCAATAGAACCCTTCCTTATAATAAATTAAGCAAAACATATCAGTACCTTGGGTATGTCTGAAAATATATTCCAAATCTATAATCCACCACCTCTGTGCAGGGAGGCAGAACATACGCTGGCATCAGTGTTAGTCCTCTGAAATTTCTATTTTACTCTGCCATAATCAGAGTGAAGTATAGATTTATGAACTGGAGGCCACATTAGTACAACCCTTTCAATGTTGTCTTCTGTTACGTTGTGTCTGGGAATCTATTGTGTGTGCGTTTCACCAAGGATGTTTCCACTGAAGAGCTGGGTTTCCATAGAGTTGGGACTGGAGATGATGGTACCTGAAGATGATGGAGTACATAACTTCCCTTCCTTAAAGCATCTACCGATGTGGAATCTTGAGTTCTGAGTCAGGTTGCTGAAAGAGCCTAGCTTGGCACAGTCATTCTAGGCTGAGCAGAGGTAAGCACCCACTTTTGCAAGAAAACTCAGAATCAATTAGGTAGTCAGAGTTTCTACATTAACATATGACTGCTTCAGTTTCATAACGTTGATTTCAGCTGCCCCCACCCTTTTCCTTAAATACACTTCCTGTTAAGAAAGTAGTGGCTCTTGCCTCATTGGACTAAGTATGGAGTTTAAAGGGAGGATGAGGCAAAATTGGGGTTGCTGTTATGAAACTGGCAGGGAGAATTGTCAGTGTTTGAGTCTGAAATCCCCTTCACTGAGAGTGGTTTTTTTTTTTTGTTGAGGCAATCGGTGTTAAGTGACTTGCCCAAGGTCACACAGCTAGTACCAGTCAAGTGTTTGGTCTGAGGCTGGATTTGAACTCAGGTCCAGGAATGACTTCAGGGCTGGTGCTCTATCCACTGCGCCACCTAGCTGCCCCGAGAGTGGTTAACATAATAGGCTCATTAAGTATAGTACAAAGCAAAGAGACCTGACTCTAGAGTGATAGGACCTGGATTCAGATTCCCCCTCTGACCCTACCTATGTAACCGGAGGTGCATCTGCTTTTCCCTGAGCCTCATCTGTAAAATGTGGGGGTTGGACTAGATGACCTCAGAGGTCCTTCCAAGTCTAGCTCAATGGCCCTACCAGAAAAGGTTTCAGAAGAAGCAATCGAGGCAAGCGGAAATCAGAGAGCCAGATCAACTTCACTGGATCCCTCATATGAACTTGGGTGGGGTTCAGGGCACACCGTTTGTACAATGGGAAAAAGTGGCTCCCGTGACATCATCCTGCCTGCTTACCTCACCTTCCACGTCAGTCACAGAAGATGTTGCTGTTGATGGACGGCAGAAATTTCTGCCTAAACGTCCTCAGTGATAACCTGATACAAAGTTTTATAAACGAATGAGTCAAGGAGGGATCTAGATACTGACTCTTCACGAGCTCAAATCAGAATTCCCTGCTTAGTCTCACACAGTTTAAAAAAATTTTTCATCGAAATTTTAATCAACAAACATTTCAGCATACAAAAAAAAGGATTATATGTGAAACAGTGAACTTCTGTTACACAGTTTTTTTAAAAAGGGATAGTAGGTGGCACAGTGGGTAGAGTACTGGGCTTGGAATCAGGAAGACATATCCTCATGTGTTCAAATCAGACACTTAGCTGTGTGATCCTGGGGAAGTCATTTGACCCTGTCTGCCTCAGTTCCTCATCTGTAAAATGAACTGGAAGAGGAAATGGCAAACCATTCCAGTATCTTTGCCAAAACAAACAAACAAAAAACCCAAATGGGGTCACAAAGAGTCAGACATGACTAAAACAACAAAATCACTCTTTTTGGAAGACTAGATCCCTTATTCTCCCAGGCTAAAAGTGTAGTCACTCACAGGTCTGATCCCATTACTGATGGACAAAAGTTTTAACTTGGTTTTTCTGACTTGGGCCTTCTGCCTCTCCTTAGGCAGCCTGGTGGCCCTCTACTCCGAAGCATTCACCATATTTGTGCCAGATAATGCAAACATCCAGTTCCCTTTAGCCCTGCTGCAGCTCACAATCCCTGAATTTGAATGATTCAAACCTCAAACACCCCCCAGTAAAAGCCATTACAGGCATACCCTACAATGCCCAGAATCAATGCTTTCTTGATTTTTTTCCTCTATTATTTCCCATTAATTTACCCTTCACCAAATAGAATTTCTCCCTTATACCAAATAAGTCATCCTCATCTCTCTCCCACAGGCACTTTGGATTCTTCCCTTAGAAAACAGGAACTTTTGATAGGTGAGATGAGCTTTCACCTTATCTTGTCCTAAACTACACCTACACTCCTTTTCCCATCTCCACACCTTGCAATGATGAGCATTCTCCACTCCTTTACAGATTCCCTTTATGTGCTGCCATACCTCTTTTGAGTACAGGCACTACCTTGGATATATTTCCATTCCCATCGATTAGCCCAATACCTGGCACATAGTAAGTGCTTAATAAATGTTCTATTTAAATATGCTTTAGGAAGACTCATTGACCACATTTAAAAATTCATGTTTCTTTCTCCATCTGCATTCTATAACTTATTGTTGAAGAGGTAGGATTCATACTTCATTATCAGTCTTCTGTGTCACTCCTGTGATCACATCTGAAGTCTTTCATAATTGTTCTCCTTTATATTATCATGGTCATCATTCACACATTGTTGGTGTCCTATTTCAGTTCACTTCTCTATCCCTACCATAGACCATAAGGCTCCCCCTAGGTGCTTGTTGACTGATGCGGTACATATGTGATACCATCCAAGGGTCTCCAACCTGATTTCTCCCCAGGGTTCCCCATCCTATAGGCCTGGCAGAGGTGTGACCACTCATTTTTAACACTTAGGAAAAGTTCTAATAGCCTTGGGCCACTTCTTCATTCTAAGGTGCTCGTGCCTCAGAATCACAGAATGTCAAGGATTGGAAGAGACCCCAAAGGCCATCTAGTCCAACATATCTGAATAAGAATTCTGTCTACATTTTCAATAAGTTGGTTGTCCAACCTTTGCTTAAAGACCTTCTGTGAAAGGAAACTCACTATTTCTCAAGGCAATCCCACTTTTGGTTTACTCTGTTTGGGAGGTCATCCTTAAATCAAGCTTAGATTTGCTTCTTCAAATTCCACTTACTATTGCCCTTGAATCCTAGCAAAACAAATCTAGTCTCTCTTCCATGTGACAGCCACTCAAACACTTCAAGGCAGTTACCATGTTCCCCCCAAACTTCCCTTATCCTGGGCTGAATTTTTCCTCTAGCCTCTTATTTTTAGGTCTTAATCCAAGGATTATGGATTTGGAGTGGAAAACTACCTTACAAATCATTTGGTCTATCCAGCTCCCTGATTTCTGATGTGCTTTCTTCAAGTCCCATCCTCTGGGAAAGAAGGAATCAAGGAAAAGAATCTGTCCAAGAACTTTACAATCTTTTCACCCTTTTCCCAACTCAGAGCTTGGCTTTCTCATGGTTCTTGCCACCCCAATGAGACCCAATCTCTTTTTAAAGTTTTCTTTTGTGTTGTGAACTTAATAAGCACAAACATCTCAAGTTACAAAAACAAACAAACAAACAAAAACCAGGAAAGATTATATAAAAAATTGAGAATTTCTGTTACAGCTTTTAAAAGAAATATAAATGAAGTTCAACAACAAATTAACAAAAAATGCCATTTCCCCTTCATACTCTTTTTGCCTTCGGTGTTTTTAAAAAATGTTTTGTAGATGCTCTTTTTTATGTCGTTACCCACTCACCCACCTTTCTTTACCAAATAGAAGCCTTCTCTTGACAAATAAGTATAGTCAAACAAAAGAAATCAACATATTGGCCAGCTCTGATAATACAGATCTCATTCTGCACCTCTAGTCCCGTCACCTCTCCCTGCCAAGAGGTGAAAAATATGTTTCATCATCAGTCATCTGAAGACGTGCTTGGTAGCGGGTTTGGTCAGCATTCTGTACTTCACCCTTTCTTCTCCCCTCACTATCCCTCCCTCCCTTTTCCTGGTTTCCAAGCAACTGGGGAAGAAGGGGGGGGGGTAGTCTCAGGAAGGTCAGTCTGTTTGGTCTACCACTCCCTGTCCCCATCCAGACCTGACTCATTCTCACCTGCCACGAGCCCACAAGCTGCAACCAACTGAACCTCTTGATGGACTGCTCTGGGCCGCAAGCCTCAGTTCCACGGCTTTGCAGAATCCAGAATCCGAAGCTTAGGGAGAGGGGGCGGGCTGGGTTGGGGGTGAGGGGCGAGGGATTCGCAGTTTTTAGAAGCTTGCCAGGTTACTAAATAAAGATGACCAGCTTTCTCCATTGGGAGAAAAGTTGCGCCCGAGCTGCCCCACCAATCCTAGGCCGACGTGAAGAGACCATCCTACGCACTGAGGGTCCCAGAGCAGCCCCCGCCTCACTCCCCCCCACCCCTCCTCCCGTCTCCCCTTCTTCCGACCCGCCCTAAGGCCGGGGCCACGTGAAACGGCGGGAGGAGGAAGCGACAGAATCAGGAACTGGACGGAGAGACAGCGGGGGCTGGGGCCGGAGTGGGGGCAGCGCGGCCACCTCCAGGAGCAGCTCCCAGAGCCGGTAACCCCTCCAGCCGCGCAGCCGCGGCGCCGTAGCATCTTAGCGGGTCCCGGGGGATGAGAGCAGGCTCGGCCGCGGGGAGGGTGCGGGAGAGGACTCGAAGACTAGGGGCGGGGGGGGCTGGGGAAAGCGGAGAGCTGGAGGCTACGAGGATCCCGGGGCGGGAGGAACGGCTGAGGAAGAGAAGAAGGAGGATTTTAGAAGGGTCTTGAGGAGACCGGGCGGGACTAGTAGGGATTGAGAAGGAGGATAGAGAAGTATCCCAAAGATCCTGAGCTGGGAGAGGAAGCGGGGGTAGGATTGCATGGTGGGTGACTCCTGTAGGTCAGGGGAAGGGCAATTCTAGAAGAATTGGGAGAATTTGGGGGACCAGAGGCACAGCTGCCTGGCTAGGTGGACGAGACACCATTCATCCCCTTAGAGTAATGGTTTCCAAATGGCCCTCGAGGTCTAGGGACTGGCACAGGAAAGGTGCGACCTTCCAGTGACACAGTACGAAAAGAATGTACTTGATAAAGCCACCTGTAAATCCAGGATCGTCTACTAGTATCAGAAACGCCCCCGTATCAATTTTAAGGAGACTTCGAGTTGGTGGCCTCCTGAGCCAGGGTGGAGGGTTGGAATAGGAATAGGAAAACCTTGGGAATTGGGGCTGGGGTGGGATTGGCAAGAGACACAAAACCCTGACCTGGGGCTGGTAGTGGCCATAAAAGAAAGCGGAGGGCTTAAACCGCAAGTTCCGGTTCCTCTTTCTGGTCTCACTCGGCTTTGTGAGGATGTGTAATAATGAGTTGTTCTTGACACATCCTGGATCGCCTTTCTCTAAGACTTAAAGCAGGCACTCAGAAAAGATCTGAAGCCCCCGAGAACCCCCCCCCCCCAAAATTACTAAATGAAATGACATTTTGTTTTGCTTAGTTGAAATGAGTGTCTCAAGGTCTCCTTCCTTTGTACGCCTCCAGGGCAGCTCTGTCTCATGGGTACCCCTACAACCATACCTCCAAGAATCTACTTGGTTGGGTCCCCATCTCTGCTTAACTTTCACCTACTCAGGGACTCTTTCAGAACTCATGCCTTGATTCCAACTGGAAATGAAAACATATCTTTCCAGGGCAACACCATGGGCTTCTCCTCTGAATTATGTAGCCCTCAGGGGCATGGAGCACTGCAAAAGTTGCAGGAGGCTGAGCTTCGACTCTTGGAGGGTATGAGAAAGTGGATGGCACAGAGAGTAAAAAGTGACCGGGAGTATGCAGGGTTGCTACACCACATGGCTGTACAGGAAGGGGGCAGCCAGGTCCGACACCTAGACCATGTCAGCCAGATCAGCCAGGTGGGCATCTATTTTCTGTTTCCTACCTCATTTCCTTCACTGGTGCTCTTACCACCTTCTCTCTTTATAACCAGTGCTCTTCATCAGTGATTTTCCTCTTTTATATCTCCTTTGGATTTCAGTTCATCCTCAAAAGAGTCTCACTAAGTTGTTTCAGTGTCTGAGGTGTTAAGGCACAGCTGAGCCCTCTGAGGCCAAACAGGTTGGCAAATTAGTGCCACCCTGGCAACACCAATGTGAACAATTGGACTTTGCCACCACCCTTATTCCTCTTTCTTCACATATATTATCAAATACATTAATATATGTATTTTTGTCAATACCTTAAAGTGTTATATAAATTAGTTGTTATTATTAGCTATTATTATTTCCAACTGCTTCTCTGCTTCCTGAATCTCAACTGTCTCTACTCCCCTAGTACCTTCTACTTTGTCCTTTCCAATTTGTAGTCCTGGGCAGAAATAACTCGTCAGACTGAAAGCCTAAGCCGGCTTCTCCGGCAGCATGCTGAAGATCTGAATTCAGGCCCCCTGAGCAAACTGAGCATCCTGATCCGTGAGCGACAGCAGCTTCGGAAAAGCTACAGTGAACAGTGGCAGCAGCTCCAACAAGACCTCACCAAGGTGCCATCTTCCCTTCTCCCTCTATCCCACGCTGCCATCCTTTTAGTACCTCCTAAAAAGTAAAGAGCAAACCTGGGTGGGGAGAGTTCAGGAAGGGGGTTATTGCTGGAAGAGCCTTTCTCTAGATTGCTTTTAAAGGTTTGGTGGCAAAGGGTGGCTATGAAACATTTAGGGAATCTGCCCATTCATTTCGTTCTTTTCCAGAGCTTTCCTAAGAATTTCTTGGTTCAAAATTCAAAGAAAAGCCCCTTAGTTATGGCCAGTTCTCCTTCCTTTTCTAAAATTAGCTACTCTGGTAACGTTACTCTAACCACTTTCCTTCTCAGCAAGTATTTTTCTTCTGGTTCCTCTTTTCTGTTAGTTTTCCTTTAAGGTCCTGTCTGTGTTCTACTTTCAGTTCTCTTCATCATTCTATCCAAGCCTTATCCTCTGCTCCTACTCTGCTCCCACCTCCAGATGTCCACATTGACCTGAAAACAATTCTCTTTCTTGTATGACCAGTTCCCTTCCTGCAAAAGTTGGTGACACCCAATCCCTCCTAGGAATGAATCATGGATTAGTAGACTCCCCCTACCTCCACACGAAAAATATTCCAGTGTATGGTTTAAGGGAAATATTGAAGGAAAGAGAAGATTGTCTGACCTAGGATCTTTAAAGTCGTCATTGCTCCTTCCTTTCCAAATTTTATCCTCAAACCCCACCCCGAGCTTGCCAGAGACCGTTCTAGGTGACTACTAAGGGTCTAGTAGTCTGGACTGAGCACTTTCAAATCAGTGGCACTAACTTGGCCCTTCACTTTCCTACGCTAAGAATGTGTTTCTAGTCCCCCAGGGTCCTATCTTCCTGCCTGATTTATTCCACTCCTAGACTTCATGGCCCTTCTCGGCTCAGATTCCAGTATCCGAATAACCAATGAATTCTCTAGTTCTTTGGGTGGAAATGGTGGCACCTAGTGGCCAAAATGTGACCTATGGCATTTCTCATTTCTTTTGGGATGCATGGACAGAACTCTAAGAATAAAATCAGATAATTTTTCCTTTTTAGAGATGAAAGAGATCTTAAATAAAGGCAGTGCTGTTGATCTTAGAGCTGGGAAGATTCGGAAAATCCCACCTCTGACACTAGTTGGGTGACCCTGAGAAAATCTTTTGACTTCTAAGTACTTTCTGCAACTCCCTAAAACTTAGCAATAGACTTATTGAAGATCTCGAAATGTCCGCATCTGGAATTCTCAATAATGACAAGAATCACAAGCCCTTCTAAAAGGAATGTTATGTGTTCAAAATTCCTTTACATGAGTATGACTTTCTGATATAGCTTCATCTACCTATTAGAAAAATAACATCCTTGGGGCAGCCAGGTGATACTCACTAGCTGTGTGACCCTGGGCAAGTTACTTAATCCTGATTGCCTCACCAAAAAAAAAGAAAAATAACATCCTTAATAATAAAATAAAATAAGGTCTTAAAGCAACTTGTACAAGTCAGAAGAGTTAAAACTAGACCCCTAAGTCTCCTGACCTGGCCTCAGTACACTGTCAATTTCATACATTGTACTTCTGAATAGTCAAGGAATCTAGATCTTTTTTTGTCCAAAATAACCTCCCAAACTTTGAGAAAACTAGTTGCCTCTTCTACGTTGTCATAGAGTCAGACCTTAAAGAAAGGAATTTGCTTATTTTTAATCCTCTTTCTTTTAATCTTTTGTTTTAACCTTTAAATGGTTTTTGTTGATGTGTTTCGTTTTTATATCCCCTGTTGTTGAGTCATTTTTTTTCAGTAGTGTCCAGTGTCCAACCCTTCATGTCCCCATTTGGGGTTTTCTTAGCAAAAATACTGGAGTGGTTTGCCATTTCCCTCTCCAACTCATTTTATAGATGAGGAAACTGAGGCAAACAGGGTTAAGCAACTTGCCTAGGGTTACACAGCTAGTAAGTGTCTGAGGCCAGATTTGAACTCAGGTCTTCCTGACTCTGGGTCCAGCCTTCTATCCACTGGGCCACCTAGCTACATTTATATTACTATTATTTCTGAATAGAGTGTTGCTTAACTTGGGTTTCGGCATTATTCCACTAGAGTCACATTGCTTCTAGGGATTCTGTCTACTCTCTAACAGAGGCAGACCTACCCCAAAGCAGCCCCTGGGTTGGGGATTTAGAAAAGGTGCTGACAAAGTACTTTCCCTTGCTCTACCAGATACACAGCCTAGATATCGAGAAGCTGAAAAGTCAGTACCGAGTGCTGGCACGCGACAGCGCTCAAGCCAAGCGCAAATACCAGGAAGCCAGCAAAGGTAGGTAGCATCACTGGTTAGTGGTACCTTCTTCAGGTGCCTCTATCTACGGTGAGGGGTCATGTCCAGGTTCAAACTCAAGGGGGAAATGAGCCTTCTTTCCTAGAGAAAGAATGCCAAACAGAAAAGAACCCAGTTCCTACCTATACAAATGCCTCATTGGTCTCTGGCCTAACCTAAGGTATACAAATTTCTTTATTGAGGGTAAGGGTTGGGTTTTAACTTTTTGGCATTCCCATCGGTCCCCACGTTATCTCCAGCACATCGATACTTGGGCAGTGCTGTTGGGTAATAGAGATGGTAACAGAAAGGTTACCCTCCAGCCTGGGCTTAGAATTGATAGTACTTTATGTACCAAGCCCAGTCCTCAGTAGCCTTTAATCTAGAAAAACTATTGGAGAGGGAGCATCTGGACCAAATTTTCCCTTTTCCCTTCCCCTTAGAGGCTGGTTTGGTCCAGAAAAGCCCATTGCATATAGACTTGGGGGGAGGGAGTGATCCACTTGATTTGGAGGTCCAGCCCAGCCCTGGGTCATCCCTGACCTAGAGGAGCCCTGAAAGGCTGGGCTAGTTCCTGGGTAGCCCTGGAGGGTCAGGTTCACCTTGGAGAGTGCATCTTACTGATTTCTCTTCAGTGTTGAGGATTTAATCAACTCTGCCTATGTCCTGGGCCTCTTCTCCGTACAGACAAGGACCGAGATAAGGCCAAGGATAAGTATGTTCGGAGCCTCTGGAAACTCTACGCGCATCACAACCGCTATGTGCTGGGCGTCCGGGCCGCCCAGCTACACCATCAACACCACCACCAGCTGCTGCTGCCTGGCCTGCTCCAGTCCCTGCAGGACCTGCATCAGGAGATGGCCCTAATCCTGTAAAGACCTCCCCACTTGGCTTCTCTAGCTCCCCAAATCTCTTTCCTTATCTCCCATATTGTCCTCTGCATCCCCCAGAACCCCAGACTGGTTTGTCCTATCATAGACTTTCTGGCAGCATGGCACAATGGAAAGAGCCCTAAATTTAGAGTCCCAGGGTCTGAATTTAAATCTTAACTCTGCTGTCTGTGCGACCTTGGTCAAGTCAACTAACTTATCGGGGCCTCACTTTGCTCATCTGTAAAATGGAGGGATTAAACTCAATGACCTCTAACATCCCTTCTAGCTCTCAATCTATGATCCTATGATCCCTCTTCCCACCTATCAAAAGACCCCAAATTTGCCTGCAGAACTTTCCCAGGCCATTGACCAATCCCTTTAAGAAGAAATTAAAAGGGGAAGGGTTAGAAAGACATGCAGCAGGTGACAACAAAGACTGGATCAGAGGTTGGGGGTGGGGGGGTGGGACAGAAAGGTGAAGAAGGGGAAGAGAGGAAAGACAAACATTTCTCAGCCACCTGTTACGTGCCAGATACTGTGGTAAGTGCTTTACAAATATTATATCATTTGATCCTTACAACAACCCTGTGAAGTAAGTAGTGTTATTATCCCCCTTTTAAAGTTGAGGAAACTGAGACAAGACAGAGATTAAGTGGCTTGCCCAGGGTTGCACAGCTAGTAAGAGTCTTAAGGGGCAGCTAGGTGGTGCAGTGGATAGAGCACAGGCCCTGAAGTCAGGAGGACCTGAGTTCAAAATCCGGCCTCAGACCAAACACTTGACACTTACTAGCTGTGTGACCCTGGGCAAGTCACTTAACCCCAATTGCCTTAAAAAAAAAAAGAGTCTTAGGGCATATTTGAACTCAGGTCTTCCTGACTTCAGGCCTGGCGCTCTATCCACTGTGTCACCTAGCTTTCTCTGAATCCAGAGCGATGCTTCAGGATGGGTTAATTAGATCCTGGGTCTGTCATGGAGCACTGGAATGATATGGGAGGGGGGACTTTGGGTGTAGAAAGCTCCCTCCATCCTGTGAGAGGGCTTTCCTACAGATCCTCTGTGCTTGGGGGTGGGTGGCAAACAGGAAAGAGATCCTACAGGAGTACATTGAGATCAGCAGCCTGGTACAGGATGAAGTGGTGACCATCCATCGGGAGATTGCCGCTGCTGCAGCCTGCATCAATCCCTACACTGAGTACGAAGGCTTTCTTCAGCAATATGGGTAAGCTCACAGTAAACGTGAAGAGTTCACCTACCTTCTCCTGTCCCCATCAAGTACCAAAGCCACTTTATTGAGTACTTTCTCCTTGCCCAGTGCAGGAATCACCCTTGAACTCTGACCTCTATGGTACTACCCGCTCCTCCACAGATCATCACCGAACACCCCTCCTTGTGTGACCTTTGATGACACTTTGTTGGAGGAAGGTGAACAGCTGGAACCTGGAGAGCTGCAGTTGAATGAGCTGACGATAGAGAGTGTACAGCACGCGTATGTGTGGGAATGTGACATTTGTGTGAGGCAATGGGGATGCCGCTGTGTTTGTGTTTGTGTAGGCAGTTCGGTGCTAAGAGTATTGATATGGCCTGAGAACCACAGTCTACTGTCGGGGAAGGGTGGTTGGAGACTTCACACACAAGATGTAGCATGGGGGCTGAAGATTACAAAGTTATGCTGAGGGGGTGGTAGTAACAAGCAAGATGGTGAGCATCTTTGCTGCAAACTGCTCTTTCCTTGGAGGAGGGAAGGGATGGGGCTGTTACTGACACATGTTTTGGGGTCCATAGCCTAACTTCAGTGAATGAGGAGCTGACCACGGCCACAGAAATGGTGATGAGCAGGCAACAGGTTGTCACCCAGATGCAGAGGGAGATTCAGAGGGAAGAAGAAAGCATTCACCCAAGGGAGAGGTGAGACTGAAGGAGCAGAGTCAAAAGGCCTGGACTGATGATACAGTTTGGGGGAAAAAAAAGAAAAGGGGTAGAATAGAGTGGCCATCTGGTCTACCCAACAGAGTACAGCTCCTTGGGAAGCGCCAGGCCTTACAGGAGGCACTGCAGGACCTCCAGATGGCCTTATGCAGCCAAGCTAAACTGAAAGCCCAGCAGGACCTGCTGCAGAGCAAGTTGGAGCAGCTGGGCCCTGGGGAGCCACCCCCTGTCCTCGTGCTCCAGGATGACCAGCAGTCTACCTCCTCCACAGTAAGCCTATTTCTCTTACCCCACTGTCATGTTCCCCAGGCGTGGCGCATGTCCTGGCCACAGACAATGTGGGCTCCCTAACCCTCTCAGCATTCAGTAGACCCTTACTATGTATCTTCCTCTTTCTTGAAAACTCAACCATACCCTGAAATCTATCCTTGATCACAGGAGCAGGAGCGTGAGGGCGGAAGGACACCCACCTTGGAAATTCTGAAGAACCATATCTCAGGAATCTTCCGCCCTAAGTTCTCAGTAAGTAAGTCTAGATTGCTATAGCCCCAAACCCATTCACTCTACATTCCTCCCACATTATTTTCCTCCTTTTCTCCAAGATCACTTTTCGTGTCCTGTCAGGCAGGGTAGTTCGGGCCTTCACTTCTGGGGGAAAAAAAAATGCTCTCCTTGGGAGCAGCTGTTTTTCCTATAGTGGGTTAGCCACATATCCCCTATGAATTCAAAGCCACAATGTTCACCATCAACCTCCTGCTCCACAGCTCTCCACCTCCTAACCTTGACTGTGACTTCAATATCTCTACCTAGGCTTTCACTTTAGTTATGCATTAGCCCCTTACTCTAAGAATGGGGCTCAGTCCTACAAGCCTTTATCAAGTCTAACATATGCAGTGGTAGGCACTACAGGTTATCAAACATGAGTTGGATGTGTTTCATGCCCTTGAGAACTTACAATGGGGGGACACATCCATAGATAACTACGACCTAACCCAGTATTTTAGTAAGGGCGTTAAGAGAAGTGCTTCAGGGGGTTTGAACAAAAGTAAATCATATCTTATTGGGAGTATAGTAGAAGATTAAGGAACTGGCATCCAATCCGAAACTTGAAGGATAAGTAGGATTTTTAAAAAAATATTATTGTTGCCTTTTGTTTTCACACTAGCGTTATTTTCCCTTAACACTTCACCCCTACACCAGACCCTTCTTTGCAACAAAGAAGGGGAGAATTTTGACAGGAGGTATGGGGGTGGGGGGAGGAGCATTCTAAGTAGAGGGACTGAAAAGAATAAGGGTATGGATGTGGTAAAAGTGTGGAACATGTTTAGGGAACAGCAGGTAGTCTGCTTTAGCTAAAGCACAGGGAACATTGCTAAGTAGTGAGAGGTAAGACTAGAGATGGAGGGGCATATGGTAAAGGGCTCTGAATGTCAAACTGAGAAGTTTGTACTTAATTTGGTAGGCAGCAGGGCTCTATCAAAGGACATCAGGAGGGGGACATGTAGGGTAGGGGAAGGGAAGAGTTATATAATCCAAGCTGTTCTTTTGGCAATATGTATAGAATAAACTGGAGGGTGAAAAGTTTGAGTTGATGAGACAGGAGGTTATTACAGTAGTCCAGGGAAAAATAACGAGAGTATGAATTAAGGAGGAGGGAGTGGGAAGTGTTCCATGTGTTTATCTGGGTTGTTCCTCCCTCTCCCCCCAGCTCCCTCCACCACTGCAGCTCATCCCAGATATACAGAAGCCTCTGCAGGATCAGGTGTGGTATCATGGTGCCATCCCACGAACAGAGGTGCAAGAGTTACTAGTGAATTCTGGGGATTTTCTCGTGCGAGAAAGCCAAGGAAAACAAGAATACGTGCTATCCGTGATGTGGGATGGGCAGCCTCGGCATTTTATCATCCAGTCTTCAGATGTGAGTTCAAGGGGAACTTCATGAAGGATATGTATTTGTCCAAGCCCCTGGGAGCATTGTATCCATTATCCCTTTTTCAGGCAAGCCCCTGGAGTCAGAAAAATACAGGGTAGGGGCAGAAAAGGGGCACTGGATCTTAAATTCTGGAGCTATAAGGAATCTGAGAGATGAACTGGTCTAGCCTCTTCAATTTGCACATAAGGAAATTGAGGTTTAGAGAGCTTAAATGACTATCTAACATCACACGTCTAATTAGTGGCAACGCTAGGAGTAGAACCAAGGTTTCCTACTCTAATCCATTGTTCTTTTCATTAAATTATGCTGTATCTTCATCTGGGGGTGCGAAGGGGAAGCCTTATTAGTATGTGAATGATATGAGTAAGTATGACCAATTGATATGATTAGGATCTGATCTGTTGATTATAAGACATATGCCTTAACAACTAAGCCAAGAAGACCACAGTCCCTTTGTCCAGTGCAGTTGTTCCCATAGACCTGGCCAGCCAAAAGTCAGGCAGCTTCTTCTTGTAGGGGCTGGGCCTCTCTCCTCATCTAGGAGTGCTGATCTCCTGCTATGATCCACCTCACAGAACCTGTACCGGCTAGAAGGGGATGGATTCCCCAGCATCCCTTTGCTCATTGACCACTTACTCCGATCCCAGCAGCCCCTCACCAAAAAAAGTGGCATCAGTCTGAACAAGGCAATCTCCAAGGTAATTTTCCCAGGTCAAACCTCTGATTTATTGCCCTATCCTCTGGTAAACTGGTCTGTCTCCCCACCCTAGTGGCTTACCTTTCCCTTTTTGCATCCAGTACCAGTTACTTATCCAAGAGAAGTTTGTCCTAGAACCTGGAGGGCAGAGAAGAAAAGGAGGGAAGTAAAGGCTTTCAAGAATTTACCTGAATGTCCCACCTTAGCTCACAAAGTAGGAAAAGACCTCTCCAATAGGTCTGACCAGCCCAAAGTTCATGTAGTCCTCCCATAGAGCCCAGCAACCTTCCTTTGTAACATTAGCTTCATTTTTTCAAATCCACTCCTTCCCCAGGACAAGTGGGCCCTGAACCATGAAGACCTGGTGCTAGGTGAAAGAATTGGACGGGTAAGCGCCAGCCCTACATGAAGTTGCATACTCTATCAGAGTTACACTTACTCCTAACTGATTCCCCCCACCCACCCCACCCCCCGTTTTTCCATACTCATCTCCCCTTTTTCATCTCCTAAGCTATATGCATGAAATAGCCTCCCTCTTGTCTTCTAATTATCTCCTATTAAGGTACACTTTCTAGGAAGCTTTGACTACAAACTGGTCATCAACTTTTAGCTTGTTCCAAATATTCATGTACACTTTGCATACTGGCATTGGCCAATTATTAGCCAGCTTGTAGATAACTTTAAAGATGGCTTCCCCATGTCACCCACTTCCATTTGTAGGAGCCTAGTTTTAGAGCTTGAAAGGAACTCAGAATCCCTCTAGGCCAACCACCTCATTTTACAGATTGGGAAACTGAGGCCCAGGGAGGTTAAGTAACTTGTCATTGTCAGTTGGTATACATTCAAGGTATGTAGGGTTTTTTTAAGTTTATAATTTTTTTTTAAAAAAAATTTAATATTCTTTTTAAAAATTTTTGAGTTCCAAATTCTTTCCCTCTCCCCAGCCCTTCCCCACCCATTAAGAAAGCAAGCAATATGATACCCCTTATACATGTGAAATTATACAAAACATATTTCTATATTAACCATGTTGCAAAGAAAAATCAAGTGAAAAAATATGCTTCAGCCTACACTTGGAATTCATCAGTTCTTTCACTGGAGGTGGATAGCATTTTTCATCATAAGTTCTTTGTATTTGGCATGGATCATTATATTGATCAGAGTATCTAAGTCTTTTACAGCTTATCATTATTATAATATTGCTGATACTTTGTACAATGTTCTCCTGGTTCTGTTCACTTCACTTTGCATCAGTTCATATAAGTCTTCCCAGGTTTTTCTGAAACTATATCCCTTTTTATAGCCCAATAGTATTCCATCACAATCTATACCATAACTTGTTCAGCCATTCTCCAGTTGATGGGCATCCCCTCAATTTCTAGTTCTTTACCACCACAAAAAGAGCTGCTATAAATTTTTTTTTACATTTAGGTCCTTTTCCTTTATCTTTGGTCTCTTTGGGAAACAGAGCTAGTAGCAGTATTGCTGGTCAAAGAGCGTGCAGAGTTTTGTAGCCCTTTGGACATAGTTCCAAATTATTCTCCAGAATGGTTGGATTAGTTCACAACTGTACCAGCAATGCATTAGTGTTCCGATTTTCCCATTAACAGGGTATGTAGTTTTGACATTGGCTCAGAAACATGATTAGGAGGATAAATCTGCTGAACAATAAGGCATTTCCAATCCAAATAGAAGGTTATCTCTATCATTTCTCTCAATTAGCATAGAGAACTGGAGCTTATTTTCTTATCACATATGTACTTTTGTTTCTCCAACTTGATTTAAAATCCTTGAGAGACATTGGGTTGAATCCATCTTTTGGAGGGAGAGTTTGCAAGGGGAGATGAATTGGCTGGCATAATGCTGTAGTTCCAGGGGGAAAGGGGAATTGAACAGGATGAAGACAAGATGACTGAATGGTGAGCACTCTAGTCTGAACCTAAGGTTGTTTCAGGGGAACTTTGGAGAGGTGTTCAGCGGCCGTCTCCGGGCTGACAACACTCTGGTGGCAGTGAAGTCCTGTCGGGAAACTCTCCCACCTGATCTCAAGGCCAAATTTCTGCAGGAAGCAAGGTGAGTAGTAGTAATATAGATTCATAGCAAGCTCCTAGTCAGCCCTAACTAATTTACAAGCTGATTAACTCCTATTCAGTTTATTTGTGTCAAACACCTATATTGTGCACTTGGGGAGAGATATGAAGTTTCGGCAAGGCATAGTCATTCCCCTTATAGCTCATGTCACAGGGAGATCCTAGCAGAGCCTGGAAAAGACAGTTGAATATCTCAATAAATTTTGGAAATTGTGTTCCTCAGCATGTGAAAATCAAACCCTTTATTTATTACCATTACCCATTATTTCTTGTGGGTTTGAAATCTTCATTACAATATCTGTGACTTGATAAAACACAATAAATACATCCATGCCACTGAGAGCAGAGTTCATTAACAACATGTACATTTACAAAAAGAAATATTATAAAGGGCCCCTTTTAGCCTCCACTATGTTGGACCCTGGGCAGCTACCTTCGTTTCCTACTGCTAGTTCCACCCCTACCCAGGTATACTCTCCATCTCCCTGGTGCTGAGGAAGAGGGGAACCCAGATTGTACTATGTTAAAGTAGGGTTGTGAATCTGGCCATGACTAGATCCCTCCCCTGGTGATTCCCTCACAGAATTTTGAAGCAGTACAGCCACCCCAACATTGTGCGACTCATTGGCGTCTGTACCCAGAAACAGCCTATCTACATTGTCATGGAGCTGGTGCAAGGTGAGTATCTCCAGGTTAGAGAAGACAATCTAGCCAAAGAGCTTCCTCTGGCAGTGCTGAGGCACTCAGCTGCCTTCATCAGATCCCTGGATCCCTTCTCTCTTTCATTCCCAAGGCTTCTCATCCTTCAAGAGTAAGAACATCCAATTGTATTTTTTGAAGGCTTAAAAAATATGAATGAGAAGCATTGAAGGAAAATAACAATCATAACAATAACATCCTTATATAGCACTTCAGTGTTTAGAAAGGTCTTTCCTCACAACAACCTAGCACAAGTATTTTTATCCCCTTCGTACGGATGAGGAAACTGAGTTAATAATAATAATAGCTAATATTTATGTAGCACCTCCCATATGCCAGGCACTGTGCTAAGTGCTTTACAGTTATTATTTCATGTCACCCTCACAACAGCCTTAGGAGGTAGTTCTGTTATTATCCACATTTTACACATGAGGCAAACAGAGATTAAGTGGCTTGCCCAGGTCACACAGCTAAGGGTCTGAAACTAGATTTTGACTCGGATCTTCTTGACTCCAGGCCCAGAGCTCTATCCACTCCACCACTTAGACTTACCCTCAACTTGCCAACAGTCACATAGTTAGGAATAATAATAATAACAGTAGTAATAATTCATGTTTATCCAACACTGCTTCTGGGACATTTTTGTTGTTGTTCAGTCACGTCTGACTCTTTGTGACCCCGTGGACAATAGCACACCAGGCCTTTCTGTCCTCTATACTGTCCATGGGGTTTTCTTGGCAGAGATAGTGGAGTGGTTTGCCATTTCCTTCCCCCATGGAGCATATTTTGTCAGAACTCTCTACTATTACCTATCTATCTTGTGTAACCTTTCATAGCATAGCTCACAGTTTCATTGAGTTATACAAGCCCCTCTGTAACAACAAGGTTGAGGAGGGGATCTGACACATATTGTGTGCTTAATAAATGTTTATTGATTGATTGATCCAGCACTTTAAGGTTTTAGAAGCACTTTACATAAATTATCTTATTCGATAAGAGGGGTCAAAGGTATAACTTGAATATAGGTCTTCTGACTGGCTCCGATGATTTTTCCAGTATCTGGTAATGAGATGCCAATCTTTTGTGTTCCCCTCACTCCCTCCTCAGGTGGGGACTTCCTGACTTTTCTTCGGACAGAGGGTGCCCGGCTTCGGGTTAAGTTGTTGCTGCAGATGGTGGGAGATGCAGCTGCCGGCATGGAGTACCTGGAGAGCAAGCACTGCATCCATCGGTGAGTGCTCAGAGGACATGGTGCCCTTCAGTCCAGATGATGGTGGACGGCACCCTGACCCTTTGCTGAAGTTGAGGGGCTGGGGTCATTAGGATCGGCCTTGGGAAAACTCAGGGTTCGGAGTTGGGAGGTCTTATGAATTCAGTTCCTTGTGCTACTGCTCTCCCCAGGGATTTGGCTGCTCGGAATTGCTTGGTGACAGAGAAGAATGTGCTGAAGATCAGTGATTTCGGAATGTCTAGAGAGGGGGCTGATGGTATCTATGCAGCCTCAGGGGGTCTCAGGCAGGTCCCTGTCAAATGGACTGCACCTGAAGCTCTTAACTATGGTACCAACTCCTTTCCCCTAATCATACTGGCCCTACCTGGCCCCTGGTCCCTAATCAAGGTTAACATAGGGTGTCCTCTTTAATGAGTGGCTATCTCAACCTGGAAGTGGCTCTCTACATATCGTGTACCATAGAGTTGAGTCAGAGTTTATTTATAACATTCCTGCTTTCACCCAGCCACCCAACTTCACACACACACACACACACGCACACACATCCTTTATAGCCTCTTCCCTTTCTGCTGCAATTAGCCTAGTCCAGCTTCCAGAGCCTACTCTACTGCTGCCCATCCCCAAGTCAATGTTATGCTCCCAGCCAAACGTGTATAACATGGCACCAGGGAAACAAGCTGTCCTTTCTTCTTGTCTCATGAGTTTGGTCAGAAGGCCAAGAATCTTCTTGGCATCACTGGCTTCTCTTTCCTCCCAATTTGATTCTCATCACAGGGCGCTACTCCTCTGAGAGTGACGTGTGGAGCTTTGGAATCTTGCTCTGGGAGACCTTCAGCCTGGGAGCATCTCCCTACTCCAACCTCAGCAACCAGCAGACTCGGGAGCTTGTAGAAAAGGGTAAGAGGGGTGACTGATTTCCCCTCTCAGTAGCCGTAAACTTCCAGGTTTCAACTGCATCGGGGAAGTTGTGAGTCCACTTCTCAGTAGCTAATTGTTTATGTGTTCTCTCATTCAGTTCTCATAGTAGCCCTATGAGATAGGAGTCATTATTATCCCTGTTTTACGGATGAGGAAACTGAGGCTGAGAAGGATTAAGTGACTCCCCAGGGTCATACAACTAGTGTCTGAGGCAGTGTTTGAACTCAGGCCTTCTTGACAGCTAGATTTTTATTGATCCCTAAGACTCTTCACTTGAGCAAAAATTCAAAGGATTTAGGGCTGGAAGGAACATTAGCAATTTGTCTAGGCCAGAGATTTTTTAACTTGGGGCCACAAGGTCCGTGAACAGATTTCCAAGAGATAGGTGAACTTGGATAGAAAAAAAATTACATCTTTATTTAATATAATTTGTTTCCTTTGTAATACTATAAATTTTATTTTATATATTTAATAATAGCTAGCATTTATGTAGCACTTAAGGATTGCAAAGCACTTTATATAGGTTATTTTAGACATTTAAAGCATTCTAAAGACCTGGGAAGAGGTCTTTAGAAGCTTTACCAGAATGCCAAAGAGGTTCATAACACATACAAAAATTAAGAAACCCTGATCTAATTAATCCAAGGATGGTAGGTGTTATATTAGAAAATGAGAGATCAATGGGAAAGATGAAGAGCCACTGATGGTTATTGGGTTTCTTCTGGGCATCCAGTCTCCTGAACTCTCATTATTCATCTGTTCTTATCACTCCCAGGGGGGCGCCTGCCCTGCCCAGACCTGTGCCCAGATGCTGTGTTCCGGTTAATGGAGCAGTGTTGGGCCTATGATCCAAGCCAGCGACCCAGTTTCAGTGCCATCTACCAGGAGCTACAGGGGATCCGAAAACGGCATAGGTGATGCCAAGAACAGGAACTCTCATTTCTGCCTCTCTGCCCCTATCCCCGAGGACAATACCCTAATTGGGGGAGCATGATCCTCCTCCTTAGCCTCAGCTTTTTCAAAGCCCCAGGGCTGGGGAGCCTGGCAGATGCCAGCAGGAACCCTGAATCTGCCTGGTTGGAGCCAACCATTCCCCCCAGGCCCATAGTTCTCACTGCCAAAATCAGTGCAGGGACATGTTTCTGCATTGGGTCTGTTCTGTACCCTCACGTGCTCCTAGGGTGCAAGCTGCTTCCTTCTGTGAGAAATAATAAAGCTACTTATCCTTATTCTGGACACTTTGGATGCAGCTTACTTGGTGAGGCTGGGTTCCAGTACCTTGCAGCATTGAAAAGAATGTGTCTTTAGGGACCCTGAGGTATGTGTGGGGGTGGAGGGGACCCTGCATCCTGTGGGAGTAGCCAGGCCTCCTTTACAAGTCTCTGGGAACAAAGGAGAGATGGCAGAGCCCTGAGTCTCGAGCCCATTTGGCAGGCAGCCCTGTCTGAACCACAGACACTAAAGAACAAAAGAAATTTGCCTGCCCGGAAAGTTAAACTGAGCCCAGGATAAGTAATTGAGTGATAAAGCCTTAGAACTGGAAGGGACTTAGAGGTTATTTAGTCTAACCTCTTACACAGTGCAAGAATCCATTGTATATAATGTATCTGGCAAGCGCCTCTGAGAGCTTTCTTTCTAAAACAACAAAACAATTTTATTGGTATCTTTTGTAACTAAATTGCTTACATTTCTCCCAGTATTATTCTTCTTCCCCCTCCCAGAAAGCCATTTCAAATAACAAAAGAATTAAAAAATTTTTTCCCAAAACTTAAATACACAATAAAAAAGAAAAAAAACCCTACATTATAAACTTAAATATTAAAACTTAAATACAAAATAAGAAAAGAAAAAAAAATCATGTGCATAGCAGAATGTAAGAGAGGATTCAAAATATATAGCAATGAATTTCCATTTCAAGAAAGCCTATGTAATAAATACTACGTGTCATGTTGACAGCTATCCATCTTTGCTTCTTTGTAAGTTTTCTTTTGTTCTTTGCTGTGCACTTTTTACTTTGTTCTTTTGTCCCCCTTCCCCTCCCCCCAGAAAGCTACATTTAAATGTGGATATATTAATATATATAGATACAAAATAATTTTTTTAAAGAAAAGGAGGAAGAAGAGAAAAAAAAACAACAACCAGCAAAACTGATCAATATGTTGGCGAAAAAAAATCTGTGAAACTATACACAATGATCCACACCCTTGGGCTTCCCACCTCTGCAAAGGAATGGGGAAGGTGTCTTTTCATATCTCTTCTTCAAGACTTGTTCTGTGTAATTTTGAAAAATCCATTTTTGATATATTTATGATTGTTCTTTCCACTTAAATTGTTGTAATCTTTGTGTATGTTGGTTTCTTGGTTCTGCTCATTTCACTTTGCATCAGTTTGCTTAAGTCTTTTTATGATTCTCTGGATTTATCATATTTGTCATTTCTTACAACATAGTAATACTCCATTTTATTCATGTTACCATGGTTTGTTCAACCTCCCCCTAATCAATAGGCGTTTACTTTGTTTCCAGTTCTTTGCTACCACAAAAAGTGTTCCTATAAGTATTTTGGTTTATTTGGCAACTCTGTTTTCATAAATGGCCTACTTGGGTGTATATTCCTAGTCGTGGGATCTCTGGGTCAAAGGCTGTGGACATTTAAAGAATATATCTGGAACATTTTATGAATTTGTATGTCGTCCTTTGCTCAGGGGCCATGCTAATCTCTGCATTGTTCCAATTTTAGTGTATATGCTCCCCAAACAAACACCTGACTGAGCACTTTCAGTGACAGAGAGTTTATCTTTTTTTTTTTATGGTGAGGCAATTGGGGTTAAGTGACTTGCCCAGAGTCACACAGATAGCACGGGTTACATACCTGAGGCTGGATTTGAATTCAGGTCCTCCTGACTCCAGGGTCTGTTGCTCCATCCACTATACCACCTAGCTGCCCACAAGTTTATCATTTAGTGAAGTAGGCTAGTAGAAATTTTTCAGCTCCAATTTTTAGGAAGTTTTTCCTCATATAGAGCCAAAATCTGCTTCCTTCTAGCTTCTGCTAGTCTAGAGAACCCTGGTTCTGCCCTGAACCCTCCATCTGAAAAGATTGTACCAGGACAGGAAGCTTGGGTTTGTTTACCATTATGATGGGCAGCCAGGTGGCACAGTAGGTAGAGTACTGGGCCTGATTCTATCTTTCCCAGGCCCAACCTCCTCCTTTCGAGTCTTGGGTACCTTGAGTAAGAAAACGTGGAAGTCAAGCCCTGGCAATGACTCCAGAAGGACACTGAGAGTGATGGTAGGACTTTGAATATGACTGCAGAGATTTAGGTAGGGAATGAATCAGAGAATCATGAAGGACCTTGAGATTTAGAGTTGGATAGGACCTTGGTGGTCATCTAATCCAACTCCCTTGTTTTGTAGATGAGGAAGTTATCCTTTGGAGAGGTGAAGTGATATTCCTAAAGACACTCAGGTTCTAAACTGCAGAGACAAGTGTGAAACTCATCTTTTGATTCCAAGTGCAGGGGTCTTTCCACTAGATGGGGCTAGACTACCTGATCTCCAAGACTGCTTCCAGCTCTGTATTGATAATCCTCTCAACAAGTCTCTAACCTCAGTTGCCCTATTATTTCATCATCATTGAATAGCATTTACTAAGCATCTCACTTTATTCTATATTTGGCACACTAGCCACAGAATCCAAAGGCTGTGATAACACCTCCCTCCTTCACACACACACACACACACACACAACCATAGCCAAAATTGTGAACTTTTCTTTTTTTGGTTTAACAAAAATTTATTCAGCACCGACTACATGTAATGTCTGAGGGATTCAGAGACAAAAATTAAATCATGCCCTCAAGGGGCTTACATTCTACTGGTGGAAGACAATAGAGGCCTTTAAATGCCAGACTGGGAAATTTGTATCACATCCTGGTGGCAATGGAAGTCACTTAGGGTTTTTTAGTGAGAGGGACAGGGTAATATGTCCAGATATGTGTTTTAGGAATATTAATTTGGAAGCTCTGTCCAGGATGAATTGGAAAGGAGAGAGAATGAAAACAAGGAGACCATCTAAGGGGGTACAAAATGATGAAAGCCTGAACTAGATTAGTAGAGTGAATGAACAGAAGGGGAGGGATGCAAGAAACATTGTGAAAGACTGGTAACTGAATGGATATGTGGAGTTTAAAGGAGAAAGAAGAGTCAAGAATGCCTCCAAGGCTGTCAACCTAGATGACAAGAAGCCCACAGAAATGGGGAAGTCTGGAGGACGGTTGGTATGAGGAGAGGGAGGAATCTAATGAGTTCCATTTTGGACCTGCTGAGGTTGACGTGCCTATGGTGGAGATATCTGCAGCTGGTGATGCAGGGCCTGGATATCAGGAAAGAATAAGAGCTAGATGCATAGAATTAGGAGTTTTTGAAATAGAAATATAATCCTCAGAGCTAATGAGATCAACAAACCAGAGTGTAAAGAAAGAAGAGAAGGTGACCCAGGATATAGTTTTGGGGGCCTCCAGTTCAACAGATCAAAGAGGAAGGGTGATGCAACAGAGGAGACTGAATAGTCAAGACAGGTTGGAGAGCTAAGAGAGAGCAATGAAACAATCTTCATTCTGCACCCCTTTCTCCCTTTGTACTGTATCATCCCACCCTCCCACAGCTGCTTAAATCCTTTATTTCTCTCCCCCCATCCCAGCTCTCATAAAAGAATATGAAAGGCATTTATGCTAAGATGCAGGTGATTGATAGACTACAAGTATCATCCTTCCCAGGGGAATCCAGAAATTAAGGATTATTTATTGAATATCTACCATATCCTCAGCACTGTCTTATGTATTGTAGGATTTAAGAGAGAAAAATGAGCTGATTCCTACTCTCAAGAAATTTCCAGCTCAGCTGGAGGGATTAGGCACACAAACACAAACATATACAACATAACAAACAATATATTTAATGATTAATTGTGCAGTACTGTATTTGCACTTTAATTGGGCTACAAAGTTTGGGGGACAGAAGGTCTAACTAGGATTTCAGGCATCTGTCAGCAGTTGGGGTAGGGGGTGATTTTTTGACCAAAGGCCCTTAAATCCTATTGCACTGCGGTTTTCAAAATCCACCTATGCCTTATCTTCAGTTTGTTCGGGATGGCCAGGGGCAAGGTAATGGGGGTGAGAGGCAGGTTGGCCATTAGAGAAGTGGAATCTGGGTGAGTGAGGCTCAGTCGTGGCCAGAGGAGACCTCACAGCCCTTGGGAAAAGGATGAAAAAGGGGTCCTTGAGGTCAATAAAATGTAAGCTTCCTGAGGGTAGGCAGGACCTGTTTCGTTTTTTAATCTTTGTATTTTCAATGCCAAGAACATAAAAGACGCTTAATAAATGTATGTTTAATTGTCTTGCATTCAAGTCTCTGGCTGGAGATCGGGGGCCAGGCAGCTGCTGAGAACGGGGAGTAGTGGCTCTTTAGGGGGAAGGCGTGGGGGAGGAACAGAGGCAGAGGAGCCGTGGGGCCTGGACGCCGCGGGGGGGACGGGGTGGGGGGGGGCGGGGAAGTCCTGCCGGCCGCCCGGGGCTGGAGGTGGGGCCGCGGCTGTCCCCGCCCCGCACGCAGCTCGCTGCCCGGGAGGCAGCGGCTCCGGGAGGCTGGAAGAGGCGGAGCGCTGTCCGGCCTAGGCGCCGGGGCGGAGCGCGGCGCAGCGCAGCGGAGTGGGGCTGCTGCGGGGCGTGCTGTGCGGTGCCCGCTGTGCGGTGCCCGCTGTGCGGAGCTCGGAGGCGCCAGGGCTGGCGGGGCAGTCCCCCTCCCTTCCCACCTTCTTCCTTCCTTCCTTCTCCTGCTCACTGCTCTGGACGCGAGGCCGGCCGGCCGGCGCTGGGAATGTGATAGGCAGCGAAGCGGGCCGGCCGGGGGCCCAGAGAGGCGCCGAGGAGGAGGCCGGAGCCCCAGGACGGTAAGGTGCCCGCGCCCGGAGCCCTAGGGGACGAGGACTGGGGAGCCACGGGGGTAAAGAAGTGGAATGGGGGCGCAGCAGCCTTCCCCCAGCTGCAGCAGCTCAGAGTCACTTGGGGGCTGGGGCTGCTGGACCAGCTGTTTGTGGCGTAAGGAGGGAGGTGAGGAGGAGGAGGAGGTGCTGGTGGGATGCTCAAATGATTGGCAGGCGGAGTGGTGGAGGTCAGAAACAGAGGAGCCGACTGCTTATGTGAGCGGTTGCTTGGTAGGAGGCATCCTGACCATTGCTTGTTTTCAGTTGCACTTTGAGACCCCCACAGCTATAAGAGTATGGACCCTCGGGGTCTTGGACAGAGATACTGGGTCTAGAAGGGTGATAGGCCTGCTGGTCCTGCCTGGTGGCTTGTAGGGTGGGGGGCGGTGATTACAGGTACCTCAATAATCAGTCTGTTCCCTCAGCTCTACCCCCTCACCCCCACCTCCACCAGCTATGGCCCTGGCCCCGGCCCAGCCTCCTAGGGCTAAAAATAATGCCTGGAGGCACCAAGCCTGGATTATATTAAGTAGGACACAGCTCCTTCCTTCTGTAACAAGGCAGCCCCAAGTCTTTCCAGGCTTCTGGGTCCATGCCTGTAGTGTTCCAGCCTATGTGCAGTATCAGCACCCAGGCCAAGATTTTTTTCCTCATACCCAAAGAATAAAACACCCATAATCCCTAGGAGGGGCCTGGTTTGTAAATGGTCTCACCCCAAAATAGAGGTTGTGTTTGGCTCACCATCTCCCCTGAGGAAGTTTTAAACTTCTCAGAGACCAGGTTTGCTTCCAGTTTCAGTGATGGTGACCTGGGAGGCCAAAGAAGCCTTTCCTACACAGGACTCACTAGAGTCACTCACTAGAGTTCTAGAACAGTCAGACTTTATCCTGTGCTTTTAGCATCACAATATAGAGGAATGACAATAGATATGCTTTGTGCTGGCAGTATACCTAGCAGCCTGTCCAGTATTTTCAAAGGAGCCAGCATGGTATCCAGTTGTGTAAAGAGAACAGGTGAGGCCTGGGATTGAATCCCAGCTCTAATACTTAATAATTGTATGACCTTAGCTAGAGCTGAGCTTGCAGGAAAGACTTAGCTCCTTCCCCGCCTGTTCTTCACCCCTAGGTGGGGAAACAAAGAGTTCCTTCTTAGGCTTCCACTAAGAAAGAGGCCACACACACTTGTGTCTTGGTTCTCGTCCATGACGACAGAATCAACTGAGAACTAGGTTCCCAGGCCAAGTTGGGAATTGATGCCTTCCTTGGCCTTGGGAACTACTTTGCTTGGGGCCAGGAAAATAGAACTGACTTGTTGGTCTGATTTCTCATTTACTCATTGTGTCACTTGATGGGAAGAGAAGAGCCATTGGGGTATATAGACAGTGTTGCCCCTCCCACAGGTGTGTGCAGGGGGACCGGTATGAAGTTGAAGAAGCAAGTGACAGTATGTGGGGCAGCCATCTTCTGCGTGGCCGTCTTCTCCCTCTACCTCATGCTCGACCGAGTGCAGCATGATCCCACCCGGTACCAGAATGGAGGCAACTTCCCCCGAGTGAGTCCTGCCTCCTGACGACTAGGATCTTTATCGGCCAGGTTCAAATAATTTTCAGTTATGGACATGTATATAATTGCCAGAGCTAGTGACCCTACCACCCACTGGGCCAGTACTCTCAGGCTGGTTTCCTGTTAGTTATTTCTAAAACCTCCACTGATGTCCTCTTCTGGTGCCCAGAAGTGACCTGGGTCCTTGGAGGCCATGCCAGCAGAACACAAGCTCCGGCA